TACTTCGCTTGGAGACATTTCGAGGCTGCACATGTGTAGACTCCGCGGTCTTAAAATCCCCACAATGCTTTGCGCACGGACCAATTTCCTCAAATCTGTGGCGGAAAATGTAAGGCGGGGCCTCTCATATGACGCACGCCTGCACACTTGCTCGCCTGTTCCACTCTTCGTTTTCCGAATGCCAGGAACTATTCTTGCCTCGCTTCTGAAGCAAGACGCTCGGAAGACATGTGCTACCAAGCAAGCGTACTCTACATTGAGAAACACCCAGGGTGTTTCTCAATCGCGAGGATGCTGGCTTGGTAGTCGCGTACTTCCAAGTCACTTCCTTCAGAAACGAAGCAAGTATGCTTCCAAGCCATGGCTTCGGAAAACGAAGAAGAATGGAACAGGCTAACAAGTGTGCCATTCTCTCTAACTGTTTCAACATAAACTGTACCGAAAATAAATACCTCACAATGTCTATCTAATTATGAACTTGCTTTACTTTCACGGAACACATTTTTGGTGATAACAAATGCAACAAAGTAACATATTTACCAACACATGTTCTACGCCACTACATACTTACATTTAAATGTGTGCTGTGCTGCGTTGGTTCAGCCATTCTCCGCAAGGGTTTTTGAAATTGGTCCGTGCGCAAAGCATTGTGGGGATTTGAAGGACGCAAAGTCTACCCATGTGCAGCCTCGAAATGACCCCCAAACCAAGGACGTGGCCTCGGTGGAATTCCAAGTATGCTGGAGATTGGAACAGTCCTTCGGCGGCACTCGATGACGTAGTATCCTTGAAATATTGGCTTGGAAGCCAGTTTCCTCGCGATTGAGAAACGGCCTGTGAAACGGCCAGTGGCTCTGCAGCAGGTTTACTCGACATTGAGAAATAGCCACACACACACACACACGCACGCACACACGCACGCACACACGCACGCACACACGCACGCACACACGCACGCACGCACGCGCGCGCGCGCACACACAAATACGTACGAACACACACACTCTCAGTGGGGTACACCCTATGAGAGGGGCGGGCAGTGTGAGATAAAATGATCACAAAGCAATATGCTGAAAGTGATTATGTGTGCGTGTTTGTGAGAGATAGTGAGCAAAAGAGAGAGATGATGATGTGAACAGCAGTCAGGAAGCAGATATTAACTTACACTAGAGAAAAGAAAGAGGAAAAATATTTTCCACTGTAGAGAATCATCTGGGACAGTAGCCCACTGCAATAGATGCAGAGTCTGTGTCAGTTTTTCTTGTATGTAGGCTATTGGTTAGGGTTAAAAACTGATTTAATATAAACTTTTAAGTTCTCTGTTCTACAATAAATGCCAAGTTTAGAGATAATGGGGAAGTTATAGTTTCATCCAAGTAATGAAATGCTCTAAATTAAACCACAGTGTGATTTCCCATAAGGCAAAGCTGCATCTGATACCAAGTGACTTCAGCGCTGATGAATTTAAAGAACACCTCCTTGGGCATTAATTCTGTATTCACAGAACACAGCTCCTTAATATTTGCAGACATATCTTGTGTTGTTGTTTAATCAGTGCATTTGTATAAAGATTGCCTTAAGGGCACTACAATTATTTAAAAAAGCTTAGGCTATTTATATAGGACTTATCCAAACAAGTATTTTAATGTGCTTGGCTTTAAAAAAAAAAAGTAAAAGTAAAAAACATAGGACTAAAACCAGGAAAATGCAATATCAATAAAGCACATACAAATGTAGAGTTTATCAGACAATATTAGGAACCAGGTAAGTTATACAAAATTAAAATTAAATTATTGAAAGACCATCTGAGACAAATAATTTCCAGGTCAATGTGAAGGTTCAGCATGATTACATGAGCAGCAGGCTCCTGTCCGACTGGCTGCACAGAGTGCAGTTGCTATGGAGGCTATGGAGGTACCTTAAAATAAATCAATATTAGGAGTTTAATATTATCATTTTTTACAATAATAGAAAATAGTGTAAAGGATTACAATTTCATTTATGACAGTTGCATTACACTTACAAGTCTCGGCAACATTTTGTTCTATTTATGTTAGCACCAGGCAGTTTAGCAGGTTAGCTTGGTGTGCACACTAGAGGTTTGTAGTTTCACGTAGCCTGCGCAGAAAGAGGAGAAGAGCTTGTGGTAAATCTTTATTTGTTATGTACTGTTAAGATAATGAAAAAACATGATACTTATAAGTAGTTAATATTTGTGTTGTATCAGTGTTTGCTTTTGGAACGCTGCATGGTCCTGGTTATTCCCCTGGGCTAAGCTAGCTCCTGATAGCTAAACAGTTGCTAGCTAGCCTGCTTAGTTTTCTCAGTTGTGGTTTTTAACAATACCTAAATATGTATAGTTACTCATGCTGTACCTAAGTGCAGTTTGGAGGTTTTTGCATTTACTTATTTTTACTTTACCTCATATTACTACATTTTGGAGAGAAATATTTAAAACCAGCATCACGACTCACATAATTTGACAGCTAACATTGCTGGTTACTTTATTATAATATTTATCTGACCAATAGAAGCCTGCATTCAATAATTAATATACCGTATTCTAAAGTCTTTGTAAGGAAGGTTCTTCAACATTTTACAGTACAAATTCACAGGTGTTGATAAAAAAATGAATGATGTCTCAGTTGAATGCATAGCTGCTTTGGCTTCAGGGTTCTCCTTTGCTGGTCACATTTTCATGGCGCCATTAATGTTATTAGTAACACCTGTGACCTTCCTGCCATAATTGGTTAAAATATCAGCTGTTAACAAGGCTTGTATAAGCACCTCTGCTGTCTTAGTTGTACATGTTGCTGATACAATATCTGGTTTTATTATAGCAACAGTTTTGATGCAGAACTGTTAATAATTTAAATAGGAGTACTGCTTCTATTATGCACATTAAAAGAGCAGGGCTAAGCAAGGTAGATATAGGATGCATTGAGGGATTGCAGGCTAGACATTGCTGTGTTAACTTATACACATTTGCTGAGCCACTAAGTTGCTGAGGAACTGGGTGTTTGATTTAAATCACATATACCTTTTGAAAATACATGTCACCTTTGTGTGCCTGTCAACACTCAGCATGTGAAGGTAGATGCCTTTGGGTCCTTTGTGCTTGGTATATGGTTATTGCTTCTCAGGATCTGATGTTATGCTCCCTAAGGCCTGTTATTTTATATGTATAAATGTACAGTATAGCTGTGAAGTGAAAGGAATGGGATTTCAATTGATATTGTAACCGCCCTGTAATCAAACCAAGCATGCAGGATACGTCGTTCCACCTCCCTGATACCTCTCCACACATCCTCTTTCTCTCCCTCCTTACCTCTGTTGTGACACCACAGGTTGGATTAATTTAACAGGGGTTCTTAAAGTTTTGCATTCATTTGATCCCAAAAGTAGCTTTGCATTTATGTGATTTGGGGATTTGACTTTGGGAATTAGGTCAAATGAGACAGAATTCCGCATAGCAATAACAGTGTTCACTTCAAATTGAACCAATATTAAGGTTTTATTAGTGTATGTAACTCAATACATTATTTAAAACTGAACCAAGTGATTTAACCCCAAGTGTCAACTAGAACATATTACATTACTGTGACTTATTAGATTCAGAAATATATCTAATTTATGGTTTCCATAAAGAAATGCTGTTCTTTTCTATTCTCAGAAACATTTCCATTAATGTTTGTTTAAACAACAAATGTGGGCACAAATGTGCGTTGTTTTAAACCTGAAAAGGGTTCATAGTGTCAGAGTGTGTAATCCACTACATGGTGAGAGAATGTGCAGAATCCTTGTTCAGATGTCAGAGGGAAGGAGGGGCTGGGCGGATATTATAACTGTCTTTAATCTGGCTAAGCATACAGTATGGATAATCCGCTCTCCCTTACTTTTACTTACTTAGTCTTATTCCTACAATTTGTCTGGGCAGCACGACTATGTAATCTCACTGAGATTATTGTAATGCTGTCTCTCTTGTCTCTACCATTCTCTACCATTTTTGTTTTGTTGTTTTTATTCCACTGCATTTATTTGTTGTCTGCAGTATTGTGTTTTTTTATTCTCTGCGCTTTCCCCAACTGAGTAAATGTACAGGATGACTCTGGGACCCCTGCCATTTTACAATATTAGTACCATACCCCGAGGAAATGTAGCAGATACAGATATTCAATTCTAAAATCTAAACTTCAAAACATTGATAAAGAGTTGTGAGAATGAATAATCATTATGTAAAGTTGCTGGTCTGATAAGCGGTGTTCAGTGTGTGTTGTTGACAAAAAGTGAATGAACTGTATAACCTACACAATATGTTGAGGAAATAAACAGTACACAGTTAGCTGTTGTACTTGCTTGACGGGAGTATATTAGTCACCGTCTATTCTATTCGACAGGGAGAGACTTCACTGTCTGAAAATACACAGGGCTCACTAACCGATGTGTCAACAATTCAAACGTTCCTGAAGCCTCCAAAGTAAACTGCTAAACTGTACAAAAACTGAAACGCTGAGAAAAGGTGATTTCGGAGCTCTCTGACAGTTGTTTGTGTTAGTAGAACTTCCAAAGTGTAGCAATACTCAGTTACAAGTAAAAGTCCTGCATTCAAAATGTTACTCAAGTAATTTGGTCCATTTCAGAATGGGCCAAATCGGTAATGGTGCAGCCAATTTTAATTCCTTTGTACACTGACTGCAGGGTATACTTCAGGTGTAACTAGCTCTTATTTAAGTGTTGTTTTATTTCACATTATTAATCAAAATCTGCAAAGTAACTAAAGACATTAAATAAATATATTTGAGTGAAAGTACATGATTTACCCTTGAATTTTAGTGGGGTAAAAGTGCAAAAAAGAAAAAAGTGTAAATACTCAACTAACGTAGAAGTCCCTAAAAATTGTACGTAAGTACAGTACTTGAGAAAATGTACTAAGTTACTTTGCACCACTGGTTGTTTGCTAATTTTCTTTCTCCTCTCTTCTTTTCCCCTCTCCACTCCAGGCTCCGACTACTCTCCCCCTCCCCCACTTCCTCCCCCTGTACTGACCAACGAGCACAGTGGCGGTGGCAGCCACAGTGACCATGGTGGAGGAGGGGGCGGGGTCAACCATGGGGTGGGTGTGGTGGGCCTGGCCCCGGAGCACATGGCCACACCGGGGGCGGCCCTGAGCTGGCAGGCGGCTATCGACGCAGCGCGGCAGGCGAAGATAATGGGCAACACTGCGTCAAGTGTAGGGGCGGTGCCCGGGTCGGGAGGGGGCGGGCCCATCTCCACGGCCAGCTCCACGCAAAGGAAGAGACAACACTATAGCTCCAAGCCCAAGAAACAGACTACAACGACAGCCACAAGGCCGCCACGGGCCCTGCTCTGTCTCACACTCAAGAACCCCATCCGCAGGGCCTGCATCAGCATCGTAGAGTGGAAGTATCCTTTAACAAACCATAAGGGGAGGCTGGTCTTTATAAGGTTTGCCATGTGGAATAATATGCAGCATGTGTCACTTTCAAGAGACATTTCCTGTTTTTAAATGTTGTCACACTGAACATTTTTAAATGTATGTATTACTGTATTAGGTTAGTTGAAAGCAATAATAACAAGTTTTAAAAATAGATATTATGTTCATCTTAATATTATTGCTTTCAACAAACCTAAAACAGTTATGTGAAATCTGTTTAATAGAAGTCAATGTTTCAGTTTTTTCAGTGCACCTGACATTGTTAAGGAATTCACAATACTTATAAAATGACAACATTTAAAGTGTCAAAGTGCAAAAGTTATTTAAAAAAACTAAAACATCCTCGATGCAACTGTGAATCAGTCAGTCAATCTAGAATCAATAACTTCTATACAGTTTTAGTGCTGATGCTATCTTCGCAGCTAGCTTACTGTGAACAAACGGAGCAGATTAAGGTGTACATTTCCATGCACATCTCACATAAATACTGGTATAGTGTCTGTGCTGCGACCACATTTCATCCTTCCAGTTTTGAATGGATTGATTGATGCTGGATGGAAATATGCAGGTAGAAAAAACCATGGCAATGAGGAGAGAGAGGGGAATATAAAGGATAGAGGACCTAAACGTGTTAGGAATTCATCACACAGCCTCTTTTGTTTAGTTCCCTCTTTCCTCTTCCTTCTTCTCTTTCTTTCTTAATCCGTCTCTCTCCTTTCCTGTGTCACACTGAGTGTTATTCACTCACAGGGCCTAATCCTTTTCCCCTTCCTCTGCCTGTCCTTCTCTCGCTTTTTCTGCTCTCTCTTTCATCTCACATTCTTTTCTCAAAGGAGGATAAAACAAATTGTGTCATTTTCATCCCTCCTTCACACCCCTCCGAGCATATGTCTTTCTTCCAGCTCTGCCTAACTGCATTCATCCTCACTCCCCCAGGTACACACATGCCTCTGTTCCTGCTTTGCTCCCTCCTCCCTCCACCTCCACATCTCTCTAACCGTTTATTATCCGTCTCTGCCTGTCCCTGTCCATTCAAATCCCTTTATTCCTGCTGTTCTTCCACACATCTCTCCTTTCTACCCTTCCTTCCCCCCCCCCCTCATTTTTAAGCCTCTGAACATAATGACAGCGACAGAGATGGTCAGAGTCACAGCAAAAGTGATTTATAATAGGAGAGGGTCCACAGGAGCATCGACTCAGCAAGAGCAGAGTCACACATGGACCTGAGAGGAGGGGAGGGGGGGAAGAGGAGGGGTTGGGGGAAATGAGAAGGGCAGGGCTCTGGGCAGGATATGGATGTCAACAGGAGAGATGATGGAGCGGATTAGCTGGGGAGGGGGGACTGAGGGAAGAGAGGATGGGAAAGGTAAACAAGACAAATAACAGAGAAGTAGGGGGGCAGATATTAAGTGAGGGTAGGAGAAGAGAGAGGAGGGGGATGACGAGGGAGGAAAAGAGGAGTGGAAGATGAATTGAATTGATGAAAAAGACGAGTAAGTAGTATTCATGTCTGTTGGAAGAAAGTTGCATTAGGCGATTACCACATTGGAATAAATCAGAATTGTAGGCTTTAATGAAAAAATACTCTTGGTCAAAATCTTGATCATATCATAACCTTCAGGACTTTTTCGTAGTATTCAAAGTATGGTTTAATCACTTTAAATCACAAACAATACCCGGAAATCTAATTTGGCTTTAAAGGAGTTGTTGGTGTAAATATTGATTGAAGAGGCTTCTTGTGGATTTTCTTTCTTTTCTGCCATCAACCTACCCATAGCTGTAGTTATTTACATTTGTATATCTAGTGATTACTTTTGTTATAATTCTGGATGACATTCTTATGAACCTGTAAATGATATTATGTTATATATCAAATAACCATAACATGGCAATTTGATTTCATTAGGTCTGTTTTGTTTTGATGGTTTTGCTCAAATGAATCAGAAAGACCGAGCTCCATTTTGAGCCTTTTAAAAATGTTTTCATAAAAACAAGTCTAAATGTCCCATAGGAACAGCCCTGCCCTTTAATCCCGCTCTATGTGGTAAAACAAGGGATGAAGACAAATTGTCTTGCTGATCACCTTGAGTATTTATAGTAATTATTCAAAGTCATAATGCAATAATAGGTCTCAATCCATCCCAGTGCTGTGCTTATGGTGTTGAAAACAATGAAAATGAATGGGAGAAAGCATGCATAAACCCTCAGGGTCAATGGAACTCTCTCATCGAATGACTGATCGGTGTTCAGATCATTACCCACAATTCCCAGCATCATTCATTAAAACAGCTCTGAAAGGAGGGAAGGATGAGAAAGCCAGGGTTACAGAGAGAGAAACGTGAGGGAATGAGATGAGTTAGGGAAAGATAAAGACATTAAAATAAGCTTTTTGGGAAAAGACCAGAATGAAGAAGATGTAACAGGATGGAGTCTTAACAAACTTGGAAGAAGCAGAACAGTAGCAAAAATGCAGTCAAATGTGTCTGTCAGCATTTCTTTCTGCCTGCTTTTGTATCCAAACACACTTTGGAATATCTTTCATCACGGCAATGCATTTGAACATTAGTGTCTGGGTGACTGTATGCGTCTGTTCTGTCTGTGTGTGTTTGTGTGTGTGTGTGTGTGTGTGTGTGTGTGTGTGTGTGTGTGTGTGTGTGGGGGTAGTTAAGTATTCATGTGTTGCTTTTATTCTATAGGCTTTGTGTGTTTGCCCCTGCGTGTGTCCTGTATTCTGTGAGTACCGCTGTTTCTAGAAATAGCAGATCCTAAATCTTTCACTCTTCCTCCTCTGTTACCATGACAACAGCTACTGCTCTCAACAGGTCAATGGGGCCTGTCTGAGCTCACACACACATGCATGCAAAGACACACTTAGATTAGAGAACACACGCATACACAATGTTGAAGAGAGCACGCACATGCTTGTACACAGATGATAAAAGGACTAAAAGACACACACACACACACACACACACACACACACACACACACACACACACACACACACACACACACACACACACACACACACACACACACACACACACACGTCACACACACAGATGCAGCACTCTCACATGCTGTGTAATTATAGCATTTAAGCATTATCTGCACACCGCAAGGTCAGCCTGAGAGACAAGGAGAGAGCGGGGCTAACAACCATGTTCTCTATATCAAATCCAACTAAGTGGTCATTTTGAAAAGGTGTCATTGAGTGCATTTACACACACACACACACACACACACACACACACACACACACACACACACACACACACACACACACACACACACATTGGGTTTTCTAGCTTACGTATTGCATCAGGTCACTTTGGGGGTTATACTATTTGTATGAATTTTCAACCCAATCAGGCAAACAGATACATATTCTCAGCTTAATAGAGAAGAGTGTTGAGCTGGCTCTCCCAGATAAAATCCGTATATGACTAGTTCTTGTTTGGATTTGTCGGATAAGAGGTTTTGTGAGCTGCATGTTGTGTTTGTGAGGCAAATGCTGAGTATTTCGGAAAATAACAGCATCCCTCTTTGTATGAAGATGCAATCCCAGTGTGATAATTTGTCGAACAGCATATACAGCTAGCTTGTTAAAACTCTGAATGTGTATATTGAATAGCACCGTGGTGGTTATTGCTGTTTTTATAGAGCTGTCCAAGTCAATCCCTCCCGATTAGCTTTGGGCATGAATATTTATGTTCTGTTTGAAATTAATACTGCTTTTGTTGGGCTGTTTAATTTGCATTATTAATAGACTTTGTACTTGTATTGATTCTTCACTTAGACCCTCTCCTCCTGATTTTTCCCAAGTGTTGTTTTGCTCTCAGCAGCACAGCAGACAGTAGATGTATTATCATGTTGATGGAAGCAGACCTCAAGGCTTTTTTATATGATGGGTCAGGAACCCCAAATGAGTTACAGGCTTGTTTTCCTGCTGGTCACGGCATGTCCAGTGTGTGTTTTAATGAGCCCTCGGTACAAGGGTGAGTGATTATCTTTGATGCCTTTTAGTCCCAGGCTGATGCTGTTCAAGGGTCAGTCCTTGATCCAAACATAAACTTATACGGTAAGACTGTAAACTGGAATATTACCCCAACTGAAGGAACTTTACTCAAGTCTTCAAGGCCTTATAGAGAAGATATCTTGTAATGTTTTACTTTAGTCAAAGTCATATAATAGATACATGGTAATGCAGTTGAAAATACGTCTTCTTGTCTTGTAGATTTGAGTTTTTGACAGCGCAACTTATCAGAACAATTATTTTTACGGCATATACAACAAGATCTGGAGTATTAGAATAATTTGACTTGCAGCCAGGAGGAAAGGAAGGAAAGAATAGAAAGGAAAGCAGAACGAGAGCAAAAGGAGGTGACAGCAGTGGCAGTTAGTAATTGTGTTGATGAAAACCAGACCTCCTTTATCTCTCCTTCACATTCCCTCCCTCACTCTCCTTCCTCTCCATTCTCTCTCACTTTGCATCTCTCTCTCTGAGGCCAAGAATAATGAGGTCACTCCCCTCTCAAGGACCGTTCCAAATAAAAAACCCTGTGTGTCTCCTCTCTCTCATTCCATCTCGCTCTCACTCTTTCTCTGTCCACATCCCATCATCCACGCGACAGGCTTGCTCCACGGCGTGCCCATATAAGGGCATGCACTGTCTCTCTAACCACCCTTGCACACACAGAGGTTCCTAAGTGACCCAATATGTCTTATTGTGAACGCAAAGGCAAACTGGACAGCTTTGATCTGTCTTACTGTGTACACTGCTTTTGCACTCTGATATGTGCCTATATATACCTCTGCTTAGGTAAGGATGTTTAAACATACCTCTTTGTTGAAATAACATGCCTGATTTGAACTTTTTTTGTGTTCAATAGGGCTTGAGGTCAAAGTCTGTTTTGTACTGCATAGGTTTTTTCATGGATCATCGAAAAACTGGCTTAACCTGGCACTATTTTTATTACAGGAACCAATTAGGTTTTAAACTAAAGTTTGTAGTACATGGAGGAAAAATTCAGTATATACTCCAGTCAGCTGTGTGCTAATTAACGCTTTGTGGCAAATAATGGTTTAACATTTTTTGTATTCTAAAAAGTCATATCAACTGATAGCAGTTATATACAAAAATCTAAGGCAAAATAAACACCTTACAAAAGTTTTTAGTAATTCTCATTTCTCAGTGAGATCGAAAATAATTAGTTTGAGTTATGGAAAAAAATAATAAAAAAATGTTGGGAAGTTGAAACAATTTAGAAAGTAGATTATTCCTAATGTGAAAATGTCTCTTTGCTTGTGTTTTGTGTTCTCTGTTCCGGTGTGTATGTTCCTTAACCCTCCTCTCAGACCATTTGAAATCATCATCCTGATGACCATTTTCGCCAATTGTGTGGCCTTAGCTGTCTACATCCCCTTCCCAGAGGATGACTCAAACGCCACCAACTCCAACCTGGTGAGTAATCCACGATATTTAAACTGCTTTACAATAATATACACTCACATGCTGTGAAGTCCACGAGCTGGTTCAAATACCTGCTTGGCTCATTGGTTTTTTTCCCCCATTCCTGCAAGACTTGGTTTTTGTTCTTGTGGTCGGACACCTGCGTTTCCAAGGTGAATGCTTTGTCTTGACTCACATTTGATTTGGTGTTTGATGATTTATGAAACAATTCTTCAGAAGATTTTTCTCTTAATTAGCATTACTGAGCAGCATTGTCATTCACACATATCCAGCTGATTCCACTGCCTGTGTGATTTCCTGCCACGTATATACGAGGCAGGAGAGGGGGAGGATGTATGACTCTGTGACTGGTTCATGGAGGTGAAAGACAAGATGTGTGAAGGAAAGGAGAGAGGCATTGAAAGAAAGAAAGATGGGAGAAGGACAGAATAGACCTTTGTTTTATCAAGCAGGGATTAAAGAAGAATGTCTTTCTTTAAATAATCTCTTGATGAGCTTTTTTTGCTCTTTTCAATGGTTGTTTAAATATAACAGACTTGTTGATTATGATGTTCCACTTTAAAGCTTGAATAAAATGAAGGGTTTGTTTATTTTGAATGAGGACTATTGAATTGAATCAAATAAAGCTATTTTAGTTGATTTTATCAAAGGCTAAGCATCCTGTGGGAAACCTTTTTGGCTTAGAAAATAGTCGTTTTGATTAGGGAAAGATTTTGCGGTTGCCAAATTGTCATCTAGTGTTATGCACTGAGTGTGGTATTATTTTATATTCTTTTAAGGTAAAGAAAAAATCATCTTACAAATCGAAGACACCTGTTGCTTCAGTACTTGATTTTTTGACTGCTTCTTGCCAAACCTCTATTCTAATTACTTGAACCTGGCTGCTAACCAGGGTGTGTGTTTGTATTTGTTGGCATGCATGCGTGCGTTTCGTATGTGTGGAAAATAGTGTGTTGCTCGGTGGTCTATTAGCGGTCTATTAGCTATATCTGCTTAATCTGGATGAAAAGCCAATCTCATTGTATATTGGGTAAGAAAGGAAGGAAGAAAGAAAGGAAGGACCCTGAACAGAACACAATCAATAACACAGCTATAAATCAATATGATTACACGATTACGCAGTGTGTGTGAGTGTCGGTGTCTTTCTCTGTGTCTGTGTATGTGAGCTTGCAGCCAGTGTATTAGTGTCAAAAGAAAACTAATCCCTCTCAGGCCATGTCACATCTGTCACTCTATGCTTCTTCTTTTCTATCTTCTCTTCTTTCTAAGAATTCATTTGCCACATTTACTCATTCTGAAAGCTCACGCCTGTAATGTGCTATTCACATGTTATTCTCATTCGTATTATGGAGAGTTTTACTGTTCTTACTTTATAAGAAAACAGTCAGAGTAGCCGGTGATCACATGATCTAGCTAGGAACATTTTGAAAAGCATTCAGTACAGCAGCTTTAGTTATAGCAAATATAGTGAATTTTTTGTAAAAATACCGACTTTTATCAAGCAATATAAATAGGGGAAACTTTAAGAAAAGTAGTGCACAGTGTATCATTTATTTTCAGTGGACAGTCTAGACTAGCTAACAGTAAGTATACAGTCTCAATGTCTGTCCACACCACACAGGGGAATTTTAATGACACTCTATTTGCCTTTTTTGAAACCGCACATACACACCTTACCTACTCACCACTAACAGCTGTGGTCGATTAGTTTTATAACCCTTTGACACAGGAAGCGGTGTGCAGATGGACTTGAGGCTTAAAGCAGAATGATGAGGATTAGTAGGTTGTGATTTTTAAACACAACATTCAAAGTCGGCCTACCTGTGCCCTGTACTACGAATCCAGTTCAACATACCCTGGATATGTTTGAGTTATCTGGCTTAACTAACCCTAACATACGCAATCTCGCTAAGCGGTCCTACGACGCTGGCTATCAACTCGGTAACTCAAGCCAGGGTTTCTCTGTCCGGCTGAGTGTACGTTCACATGAAAGGGGCGGGGTTAGCAACATTTGACCAATCACAAACATGGACAAGCGTACTGACAGCACAGCGTCATACTTCCTGAGTGAAAAGTCAACTATAATATTAGACATATGAAGAAGTTAAACTTTAAACATCCATGACTTAAACACTGTATCCAGGATAAAAGCCACATAGCTGCACCTGCAAGGTGAATACAGCTGGTAACAGAAAAAGTGTTTGGATGCGTACATTAACAGGTTTATGATATTACATTACATTTAGCTGACGCTTTTATCCAAAGCGACTTACAATTACCAATTACAGGGAAATTCTCCCTGGAGTAACTAAGGGCTAAGTGCCTTACTCAAGGGCACACTAGAGGTGGTGTTCCTGGCGGGATTTGAACTCACATCCTTCCGATCTTCACCCCACCTCACTATCCATTAGACCAGTGGTTCCCAACCTTTTTTCCCAAGAGCCCCCCCCAAATGACTCCTGTTGGACACACACACACACACACACAAAATGCTACAACTACTGTCACAAACTGTAGTGATGGCAAAATGAAGCTTTGAATGAAGCGTCGAACCACTTGGACAATTGTGTCGGAAATAGGTTCATTTCTCGAAGCTTCAGTTACAGCGACCTCTCCTGGCGAAGTGCAAGGC